TATTGGACTACTGATGGATGCTTGCATCAGTCTAATGGAGACGCAGTTTATTCGTTTCGTATGTTGTGACCTATTTGTACGTTTGCCAGGCGATACGGTACTCTCATTGGTCCAAAGCGAAGACTTGTCAGTTGACTCTGAGGAACAAGTGTTTGAAGCGATTTCACGTTGGGTTTGTCCTGGTGGAGTGGTTGATGAGGAGAGGCTGAGGATATACGCTCCGAAGATGCTGAAAGAGGTCCAGTGGCATAAGACCACTGCTCACTTCCGTGAGCAGTTGCTGGATACACACCCAATTTACCAGACCAACGTCGAATGTCTGTAAGTGCATGCCAACTAAGTGCATAATGATTCTGTTAAAGTCGACTTATGGCGGCGGTTGAGCAGTGGATTGGCGCTGCCGCCACGCCCAAGAGGATGTGCCCCTTTAGTCAACATAGCCGCAACGGGAGAACGCCTCAGATGATTTTCGTCTTTGGAAGGGATAAAAATCAAGACAGGTGTTCTGTCCTGCGTTTCGATTCAGAGCTGCAAAATGAAGAGAGATTTGCTGACATGGAACTGCGTCGTTACGCCACTTACAGTGTCGTAGGTGGTGAGTCGACTGACGTACTCTTATCTAACCCAGCTGTACACGTTAGTGAGCGTTAGTCGCCGTTCTTGACCCCCCCCCCTAATCTCATCGCACGCAGACTGCCTCATATTTTTGCAAGCACCTGCCCTCCTCAGCATATTTTTAAACGTGAGTAATTTATGTCTTTATGCACAATCATAGCACACATTTGTCGCAATGTAATTGCCATCGCATAGGACAGATAACTCTAATAACAGTGATGTCGAAATCTCACGTGACGAATTTGATGCTCAGTAGTGTTCCTTGAAGGTTCGCAGAGTATGCTCCAATACCAGATGGTTTTGTTCAGCTGCATTTCTGAGTAGAGGAAACAATTGAATATCCTTATAAGGCTTATAGGAATGAATGCAGCCGATTCTAAACGACTCAGTGAGGGCTTTTTAGTAGGGATATTCTCCAACTTGATTTTCACTGTTGGACAGCCATATAAGTACTCGCTTTGTTAGCAAATAAATAAGGTTATTTTGGTCGATATTGGATCATGCTCAATGTCGGAACAACACTATGGCCAGATTGTAGTGCGACATGCATTATTGGGAATGCGCACCCTCATCAAATGCCAACATTGATGTCGGGTCTAGCTGGAGGCCCATGGTGCGTCAATTGGGATCCAATGCACCTCTCCCCAATGTTTTCTGTAGTCGTATATGTTCCTAGTCAATGTGCGTTGTGAGCCATGCATATATACATTGCTACTCGAATGGATGCTGCGCGGTCCTACAAAATCTCAAGCATAGGAGCTTCTTAAAACCAAAACATTCTTTTGCTTCGAATTCGACATTGGATAAAACTGTGATTTGCTACCAAATGAGATGAAACAAAGAATGCTTTAGTACATTTTTTGCGCAAAATACATTCGAAATTATAAGGGCATCGAAAATCTATGGAGAAAGTGCACGCTAAACAAGTTGCAATTTTTTACCAAGCCCGATTCTTGCAGGCGGCCGCAATGAAGTGCATTCAAAAGCCAACACCCTGGTGTATTGGAAATATTACGGCATTAGTTCAGTCTAACTACCGCACCTAAGTAATCTGCCTAATCAAAAAGGTATTTCAGAGATTTAGTTAACACCTCTTGAGATCAGTCAATGAATGTAGGCGCGCAATTTGGCGGAGGCTGTGTTCTCATGCATCTGGAGGAAATGAAGTTCATTTTGGGACGGGATTTGCAGGAAAGACAATCATAATCTTAAAAAATCTAACGGTTATTGACAAAAGACATATCATTATGAACTGACTCCAGTATACCCCTTTAGAATCTCGACGATGAACGGACACTCCGAGCAGCCTATTACGGTTCACTTCCTGCATATCAAATGGGAAGAGTCAAGCTGGGAAATAAAGGAATGTTAATTTTGTTATTAAATATTCTTCTACGACTAAGGGTATCCTCCTATTCCTTGACTGATCTCTAGCACAGGCGGTCATTTGTGGCCACACCTGTAATGCTGCTGCCTTGGTTGATTTTGCAAAAGTATGCAGATTTTCAGAACACGCAGTCAAGTAACGATAAGTTGATGCTCACGAACCACGCCGGCTTGCTTTAAAAGTTAAGACACATTTTACAGACACCTCCCTACACCTTATCCACATTTTGTGCAATTTTCCCTTCCTGGAAGAGAGCATTTTCGTAGTCGGAGGACAGACTTCGCAGCAGACCTTCTCGACAAGTGTTGATGAGTTCCTGGTGAGAGAACGGCACTGGCGCAAACGGGCATCCCTCGTCGTTGGACGCCAAGATCATGCGGCCTCCGTCGTGAAGGTTGGTGTTGCAGACAAGGGGTGTACAGAGAACACGCTGATTGCCATTTTTGGTGGATACCGTATCGAAGGAGGAACAATTATACGCCTTTCCTCCTGTGAAGTGTATGACGCCAGTCAGGATAGGTGAGAACACTCGTGACGCAGATCTCTTACTTTTTCGTAAATGTTGCTGCCTCGCTCACTCATCCGCGCCACACACTGCCCGCAACAGGTGGTACAGGCTGCCCGATTTACGGGAAAAGAGGAACGGTCCGGCTGCTGTGTGCTTACCTGGCGACAATCGGGTCTTCGTCATTGGCGGTAATGGAGATTCCGCCTGGACTGCTTCCGTGGAGTTCTGTCAGCTGCGAGCAGACTGGCAAAGGCAGGCCACCTCATCCAGCACCGCCAAATTCTGGCTACCAGCTGCCCCCATGCGAACGGCGCGCGCAGTTTTGTCAGCAACACACTTTAGAGGGAGAATCATCGCCGCCGGTGGATATGATGGTAACAAGAAAGTCAACGTTGTGGAGATGTTTTCTCCCCCAGACACCAGATGTCCACTCGGTCAGTGGACGGACCTCGCTGCGATGAAGCAGCCTCGTTCATTTTTCACTCTCGTCACCACCCGCGACACGGTCTTTGCTCTGGGTAATTATTCGTTCTTCTTTGCTCTGCAGTGGGGCAACATAAAATGCATTATCCTTCCCTCATGTGATTTACTAACACCGGCAAAATATTTCACAGGGTTGAGCAGCAGTGCTCCGGTTATTGTGATTATTGTTAATCTTCTGACTTGACTCCATTTCTCTGGACCTTTTAAAGATGGAATCGCATGGGAATTATTTCAAATTTGTTGGCGGCGATGGGAGATCAGGAAACACGGTAGAGGCTCTTACTGCACCAGAAGGCTCAGTCGGTTTTAGCGATGAGTTGACATCTTGGATCTGGTCGACGAAGAGCTCATTGGAAACCCTTGCGGAGATTCGTGGAGCTGTAAGTGTTCGCATGTGAACGCATGCGTTTCGTCATGTTAACTCGGAGTCTCTTCTGCTAGTTGCAAGCTTAAAATAAACGACTAGCAATTGAACCCGCTTCATCTTCTCAAAAACTGTCGAAATCCATGTTGTCATTTTATTTTTGAAAACATCGAAATGGTCTATAATGCGAACGTCGGGAATAGACGAGCAAAACGTCGTTCGCTATGCCGCGAGTCAAATATTTTGGTGCCTTACTCTGGACTAGGTTTATCAATCCCTAAGGGAGATGCCCACCCGCTCACATAATGCATAAGTTTATTAAAATCATACATTCACACGTTTGTACGTTAATATGAATAGCAACTATACTACATCAGGGAGAGTGGAGAAGGAGTATTTTGCAGAAATCACTGCATTTGTCAGATCTGGACAGTGGTTGAAGAGAATGAGTTTCGGTCTGCGAACTAAGAACAATATTCTTGCGATTCGTCGGATGCGTTCTGCGGCCCATAACCGCAGACAGAAAAGGATGGTAGAAATATGCTGTATTTGGTATGTTACTATTTGTCCAACAAAGTAACTCATCTCGAATTCACTGCAGGTGTTTGCAATTGTTTCAAGGGTTTCCTGATCTTTCACGTTTGAGTCGTTAATTTTTACGATGTAAGTAGCAGTCGTTGACCAGTTTGGGTACAGATGCCGACGAAACAGCATCGTCAGGCAAATGGGCAGGCGAGTTTGGGCAATTATGGCCGACCACACATTAGCAATCAGGATAAATTCCGTCAATCCATAATGGAGTTCCAGATCACCCAAAATAACGTAGCCAAATTGTGCAAGCAAACGGAACCCAAATAAAGGCAAACGGGGGTAATGGTGTGGGTTGTGGGATACTTATGGCACTAAAGGAACCTACCATTACTTGCTACAGACTCGATATTTCGCGAAAAATGCTCATCCATTTTGTCGGAGGGCGGAAGACTCCCGAGCGAAATCGACATGGTGGTCATGTGCCTCAGGAAACAAGATGGTAGCGTCGGCCAACATTTCATCGTTCAACATGTCTATTTGGCTACCACACGCACAAATTCGTCTGGTGTCCAATCTCGCGCCGGATTCAAATGTTTATATAAAGACGAATGAAGACGAGAACCTCGTTTTGATCCAGTGGCCGGCTTCGTCTTTATCTCACCCACTCGGCAGAAAACTTCACGCAAGTTGGCCGAAGCTGTTCACCGAGAGATGCACTCGTACAGCGGCCTTGAAGTTAACCTTGACATGATCCATTTGCTAGGTTTAAGAGACGCGCTTCTCAACAGTACATTGGAGGACTGGACAGATGGTTGCATTCCTCTGCGCGTACATGTGAGACGTTCAATTGTTAAGTGAAAACGTTCTCTGCGTACCTGAGTGTATTTTCTCACGTGCCAACCCGCCGGACACGAACCCGTGCATGTGTGCTGGTGGGGGGGGAGGTGTGTGAATATGGCATGGCTGGCGGTTTCCCACCGCTGATTTTCACGAATACGTATGTGATCTAGCAGGCACATGCGGTAGCTGAATGTGTGGAGGCGATGATGGTAGTTGAGGTGGATGCGGCGTGCTTATGTTGGTGCTTCAGGCACTGGCCCGCCAGACTCTGTTCAATGGACCCGCAATTGACCGAACAGGCCGTCGTGCGGGGTGAATATACGGGGATAGGGTGGGCAAGATGAGTTGGGAGCGTCATCATCATCATCATCATCATCATCATCATCATCATCATCATCATCACCAACAACAACAACAACAAGAGCAGCAACGGCAACACGACCGTCAACACCAACACCCCCATCACCACCACCACCATCGCCAGAGGTGATTACACTCCTGATGCGAAGACGTCCCTGCCGATACTGTCGATTTTCATCACTCATGTCATCCCTTCCACAGCCCCCGCGACGTTGACTATCACCTCTCCAACTCCCATCATTGTGAGGACATTCCTGACGCCGCGTCGACTAATGCCCTCATTACTACCGCCCCCCCCCCTCCGCCAAAGTGTGGAATCGATCCCAACCTCTCCCCCTTGCGATCACACCTTTACATCATGAGGCGGCTTGATCGATCACTTGCGAATTCGTTGTGCCGAAATCGGCCTCCCAGTGCCGGGAGTCCCGACATAAGCCAGTCTCAGCCGCCTCATCCGTTCGCACTGACCACACACATCCACTTAACGCAGAGGCTCATTCGGCCACATGCGCATCCACGTTGGTGGAATTGCCTGCAGTATCGACACGCGAAACACTCCTTATGAATTTATATGGTCACATGCGCATGCATGAAAACCTGCAGTAAGACACTTTCAATAGAAGCTCATAACCACGCTTCTACTCACCACCGCTAGCAAGAAATTTACACCCCTCACGCTAACGGGTATCGAGCTTTTTGTCTCCTTCTGCATATGGCTTCCACGACATAAGCATACGTGAAATCCGAGCAGTGAAAACCAATTTTTGTGAGTATTTGGTCGGTTTTGCGTGGCCTGGTCGTGTGTGTGGTACGCGCAGACGGACCTCTCATGGTATTATCAGTCACCAAGACCAAACTCAACATCAATTGGTTGACCGTGTGGGACTACCACCTGGCACTCAACTCATAATTCCTCACTAATAACAATCCGACGTGTCTGAATCTATCACAGTGCGGTAAGAACCGTGGCTCGGAAGGTTGCCAACTACCGATTCAACTCAGACCTCTCAGCCAGTCACCGCCATCACCACTGATGATTCCACTCCACGCCACAATCGATGTCGCCGATCCCCACCTCCTCCATCACCCCAACCCCAACCTCCGCGACGAAGACTACTGCCAGCACTCCAACTGCCATCACCGGCGACAACATTCCTGATGCCACGTCAGCCACTGTCCTCACCACCATCGCCTTCGTCATCAGCAGCGTTGACTCGATTTCAAACCCTCACTGTTTGCGATCATGCCTGGCCGGGACTGGCGTACCAGTGCCATGAGTTCCGACATATGCCCATCGGATCCGCCTCAAATGTCTACACCGACCACATACATTTGCGCGCCGTATAGGCTTCTTCGGCCACGAGAATGGAATTCCCCGCAATATCGGCAAGTGTAGCACATGCTACACATCTGACATATCTCCAACAGTGTGGTGGACAGTAGCAGCTTCACAACCGCTCAGCAGTTGCAAACATAGCCTGTCCACATTTCCGTCGCAAATGCACAACATGCACTGACCTGATCAGTCACATGCGAATCCAGTACACAGACGCTGGCGAACCAAAGGCTGTAGCAACAACATACACCAACTCCACCCGCCTTAACTGCATACGCTACCCACACAAATCCATTCACCAATTGGACGTATTCGGTCACACGAGCAAACATGAAAATCTGCGGTGAAACACCGCCAGTCAAGCCAAATAACCGACAGTTCGACCGTCGATTTCGACGATGTCCACCGTGTACCGCACAGACTGCATTGTGGAGCAGGGACGGTGACTTACGCAGGGGTTTATAGTGCCGGTAGACTTGCGTAGCATCTACCTACACTCTCTCCTCCTCCCCCGCCTGGACCCGGTGTCAAGACAGAGTCAAGAAGACCGGAGACGAGGGAGGCCGCAGGTGAATGGCTCGGACGGATCCTCACCTTGGCGTTCCACTACACACCATGGTCCACACAACAATAACCAGGATTTCAACCAGACAACAGAGATTTGGAGGCTGGCACGGCCGAAGCCGCACCTGGGCGTGTCGCCAACGCCTGGCTCGGATCCCACGCTGTGGTGGGAATGCCAAGACAAAGACAACAAGTCCGAAAGCGGGAGAAGGCGCAGGTGGATGGGACGGCTGGACCCGCGCCTAGGCGTAATCCTGACGTAAATGATAATGTCCTCACGAATTAACGAGTTATATCTCAAGAGCCCCTAGCCTTAAAGGCAGCAAGTAAATCTGCGCAGTAAATAATATAGAGCTTTTGGACGTTACGTAACCTGGCAACTGAGCGCGGCAACAAATCAGTCCAGCATGGCGAGTGTGTTCTTTTATCGTCACATTCAAACAAGCGATCCGGGCAAAGAAAACGAGACTTAATCGTCAAAGGAAAATCAGTCCGGTAGCTCACTACAATCCCACACCCCCTGGTCCACTATAAACACATGGCCAGAATTTTAACCATGAACAGAATCAAAACGAGTCGGAAAGGCGAGGAAGACTGGGCAGTCATGCACACGATCTGCATACCCAGAGGGAGCATACGTGCATCTACCGGCAGGGAATCAGGAGTCAGAGAACTGCCATCGTCCACCAGGCTGCGAGGGCGGTGGTTTGCTGATCCTGGCATAGCAGACGCCTACATTCCCTGGGCATCACCCAATAAAAGCACAGGAAGGGCACGCCGCGCGCAAGAGGGAATCGCGCCCTCGTTCCCCTTTCCATGTTGCCTCCATTTTATTAAAGCACGACAGGGAACCGAGCAATGAACACCCTTCATGCGGAATTCTGGCAGACTGTGGGAGTCCAGGTCGCGTGCGTGGCAGGCGCCGACGGACCATTCGTGACCTTCTTGGCCAGTAATTCTAATCTCAGTTTGCTGACCACCTGAGACTATTGCCTGGCATAGGATGGAGGGAAGGGAGAGTGATGTCGACACTCAGTGCATAATTCACGGTGAGATGTGAATCGTTGCTTGGAAGGGCGCCATCGGACGGGATTATCTGCGGTGATACGCCGCCAGCAGTCATACCCCACCACCAGAACTGCACATTCACACCACACTTCCACTCAGTTGAGACGCGAGCCCTCTTGTTGTGCAAAATCCTGATCCTTTGTGTCTGGACCAGGATGTGTGTTGGCACCCTTGTGCGCGGGTCCACGCCCTGTCGACCACCGGCGAAGGCGTAGGTGGATGGATCGGCTAGACCCTCACCTACGCGTTACACCACACGCCCTGGTCCATAACAAACACTTAACCAGAATTTTAACCAAGAACAGTATCAAAACGGATCAGAAAGGCGAGGAAGCCGGGGCAACCATGAGCATGACCTGTACACCCAGCGGGAGTGCAAGCGCATCTACCGGCAGCGAAAAAGGTGTCAGAGAACTGCCAGCGCATGCCAGGGGCGAGTGTTGTGGTTTGTTATTTTCGGCGTGGCAAACGTTTAAATTCCTTGAGCATCACCCAACAAAAGCACGCGAACAGCACCCCACAAGCAAGCGGGAATCGTGTTCCTTGTCTGCTCCTCCATGCCGCCTCCATAATCTTAACGTACGAGATGGACGAACAGTGAAACCCATTCATGCGAAATTCTGGCAGAATGAGCGGCGCTCAGGTCGTGTGCGTGGCACGCCCAGACGGACCGTTCTTGATACTTTCGGCCAAAAATTCCAATCTCAACAACTGTCCGGGACTATTGTCTTGCACAGAGGAGAGGAAAGGGAGAGTGATGTCGACACTCAGTGCATAATTCACGGTGCGATAAATGTCGTCACTTAGAAGGCTGTCATTGGACAGGATAACCGGCTTATTCTTACAGGACTAAGATTTAGGCTACAATGACTCCGTCTTAATGTGGCCTTTGTGGCACTTCCACTCGGTTGAGATCAGAGCTGTCTCTCCTTTCCCTGATGTCTGGAATCCTGGTCCTTTGTGTGTTTGACCACGATGTGTGTTGGCACCCTTAGGCGCGAGCTCACGCCATGTCGACCACAGTCGACTTGTGTGGGCCTTATTGCGGAGCGGAGGTGGACGACGGTGAATAAAGTGTGATAGACGCTGCGCAAGGCCACTACCTCCATAAACTAGTTCACGCACATGTCATCGTTTCTGCGCCCACCCTGTTGATGGGCACATGTTGTCCATCGTCGAAAACGACGGATGAACACTCGTCATGTCGCCTGAGGGATGATGATGTTGGCGTGCAGGTAGTCGGACCGATTCCGTATTTTCACGTAAGAAATAGCTTTTCAAGTGTTAGTTTTATTACATTAGCCAATATTGAAGAAAATGTATCCAGATCGGAGGACGTGGGAGCGATTCGAGGTAGAGAAGATTATGGATTTGGGATGCCGTATCATGAGTCAAATGGGGAGGAATGTTTTAATACGGGGTAGATGGTAATTTAAAAGTTATTATATAGGGGCATAACCTGGAGTCTAGCCTTCCATCTTTCACAAAAATTCAGGATTAACTCATTTTCAGGCTCTAGGGTGCGAATTCGAGAATGACTCAGTCGAATAAGAAGGGCGGTGGTTATCTAGAGCGGTAAAATCACCAACATTCATGTTTCGGACGTGCCTACTCGAGACAGCATCAGTCCATTTACGAAAACCTGCGATGAATGCGGACGTTATCAGCATTGACGAGCGTGTGGTAACATAGGAAATGCAGCTGATGAATACTGCTCCCAGTGTGCATCCACAACTTCATCCTGCTGCTGTCATTCATCAGTCATGGATCCGAAATCTCGGACATATATTTTTCAGCCATAGGTCGTTTTATTTTTGACTCGCAGTTAGTCCAATTGCCTCGAGGTTGACACAAAGGATGTATTGGTCTGCATGCGTATGGATACCACTACAGCAATCTCCTCAAATTTGCCCACCGAGCACTTGCACTTCCAGAGTGCAGAAATCATATGAATGTAATGGTACAGTGGGCCTCTCTGCGTTTGCCACCATTTAATTTTGTAGAATTCTCATGAAATACATTTGCAAAACCGGAGGAAAGAGGGCAAGAAGGAGGATTAGACGACATGCACGATAAACGAATTACTTCTGCATCTAAAACATTCACATATGAAGACCTCGAGCAGCTTCCCACGTTTAAATCATTCACCAATGTGTTCTGACGGTCGTAATATATAACTATTTGACATTCCACTAAATAGGAGTACGCATTAACAAAAAAGATGATCCCTTCAGGGTGGGTATGCGGAATCTGTAGGTGGTAGCATCTTTGCAACATCAACTTGCACCTGACAGCCACATCCACCGGCGACAAGGACTCTTCCTTTTCGTCTGGTTCGCATGACGGCAGCTGATATCGTAGATGGAGTAGGAAACACACGCAAGCTGTGGAGTAAGCTGTACCGAAGCAGTATATTCGGAATAAGAGATAAACTAAATAACCACAGCTGCATAAGTTTTACATTTAAGCTTATGTAAGTTAAGTAAATAGGAAAATGTCGTGATAGCTGGCTGAAATCCCCTTAAAATTATATCCCATGAATGGGACTTTATTTCATAAACAAGACTTATTAACGTAGAAATACACAGTCGAATATATCGGGCTTTCTATCGAGGGTAATAATGCACTTGTTACCGTCAAATAGCACCATCTGGAATCTTTCTAAAACTACCCTAATTTAACTCATCCAACAATGAAATTTATTAGGATAACGGAGATTTATTGATGACTGCCATCCCAAGATGCCCTGTTACACTGAAGTACTGATAGATAGCTGAATATCTCGAATAATTGCAAAGGGCACACGCAGAGGTTTTACAAGCATACGGGTAAAAGATTACTACTTCTCACAAATGGAGCTCCGTCAACCGTCTATTAACTCTAATTAAGAACCACAACTGGGAAAAAGGAGGTAATCTGATGAGCTACACCCATCATTCACAAGACGTTAGTAACCCCATTTGCCTGTCGAGTATTTCTGCGTGTCTTCTCGAGCAGACTCATGTTAGTCGAGGTGCTCCGCTTAACAATAATGACAGCTGATCTGAGAGGAAGTGGGGTGGGTGGAGGAGGGGTGGGGGTTGCTATGTGCACACAGAAGCCATGCTCGCGTACTGTGAGTAATGAGAGCATCGATCCAGTGCCAGGAGAATGACGCATCCCGCAGCTCGCAGCCTCGCAAATGAAAGCGGTATTGGAGGAGAGAATACAGGTGTATGGAACTGCGAGTTAAGACTAACCTCGATGTGACAGTAGGCGATTCAGATAGGGGTTTGAGTGGAGGGCATTTCACTACTCTATGCCACATAGAGTCTGCTGAAAAACGTGTGCTCGATAAGAGTTTGGCGTACACATCGCTTGAGAATTGCGTTGCAGTCTCCAACGCATACGGTGACTGTCGGATCTTGGTCTAAGTTAAAGTAAATGAGGTAAGAACCAGTGCATCTATGAAAATAGTGTCAGAGTTAGTAACTTGATGTACAGATCCAAGTCTCCGTTTCTATATCCGCATAACTGAACGGAAGTTCTTCAGGACTACACTATAACTGGCTGACTGCCCATTGTTAGGACACTGCATACGATCACGTTTGACCTAAACTTTAAGTGAATATGGAGAGTTCGCAGTGAGTTTTTGTAAGCATGCCAGGCAAGCAAATACCCCTTACCCATTTGGCCATAAAGGCAGACGCCCACTTCATCCTCTTATGCACTTCTGCGTTTCATGCTGTCGGCGAATAAGGTTCTCTCAGCCATCAGTCCGCCCAACGGGCGGTTGAAAGTGCCTGAAATAACTTGCAAACGCTGGACAAACAACATCTGATCGCCAGTTTACGGTACCTCATTCACATTCCGAATAGCACAACAAGTTCGCCCAAAGGGAATGAGGCATGAGGACACCCGCATGCACCATGACGAAAGTCGATCCGGGCACTATTCAACGTGATCTTCTCTAGGTGCATGCTCCATTGGAAAATGAAAAAAAACGTAAATTCTTGAGTTCTGGACGTAAAAGTGGGTTAACATCCCCAGGTCAGGGACGCAAGGAGACAAAATCTTATTTGCATTAGTTCGTAAGTTAAATGATCCGCCTCTAAACGGTACGAAAGCTGAATATTGTGTGTCATCATGCAAAGCCATTGAAGGCCGCAGATAAAGGCAACTAAGATGAGGAAATATAACACACTCAATCAATGTAATTGACGGTATTCTGCGCACACAGCCGTGGCACATGTGATAAATGAAATTGTAATTCTAGAAAAATTGCTTACCTAGACCTACAGTGACATTTGCCTGTATTTTTGCATCGAACTGGAGGAAGGTCTGAAAGCGGTGTCATATGCAGTTTTGTTTTTGGCCAACTACTACTACTACTACTACAAATCCCGAATCGATTGGGAGGTCGCCATGTTCGTCGAAGACACAGAAAAGATGGACGGACGTCAAGACTGTTCACGACGCGGAGAAGTCGCAGTCGCACATCAACAAACGATGTGCTGGGCGAAACAGGTGGCCTAGTAAAATCTGTGTCCAAGTGTTTATTTTCATATAAAATGGAATGATTGCAGGTGGAAAGAGCGGGACGCAAGCGCAACAGCAAACCCGGTTCAAAAGACCCTTTTTAAATCGAAAAAGAATACCTAAGTTTTTGCGAAATAAATGCCAGGATGAATAACATTTTGCGTGTTTTCTTTATATGTAATCAGGCCTTTTTACCCACGTGATTTGTGCACCTATAAGTTACGTAGCGTATTCAAAACACCCCGTCCAGGCGTGACTGTAATATATTTGGATAAGGTTGTAAGATAAACAACAGTACACATTTAGTGAAAAAGCAAATTCAAATCGAAGACGAATTTATGGATATCGACCAACATTTCATGAGATACTGCGTGTTGACTTACACTTGTCTGGATAGAGAGCCCACCGATCCGTTGCGGAATCCGCTAGCCTCATTCTCTTTTGGAGCCCCGTGAACAGTCTCATTGGGACTGGTATTGTATGCAGAAATAGATATTGTCGACAAATGCAAACGAGACTGGTGTGCCCACCCCTGGCTTATTAGCCATTCATATCTAACCGCAAGACTGACAAGCCCTGAGACCCGAAACCGCGAACTGTTGGTTGGGGCTCACGAAAACTTGGGGTTGCGCATGGTTGGCTGATGACGTCTAGGAAGGAAGAAATGGCCATTCCAGCTTCTCTGTCCTTGTCTTCAATTAATTTCTGCACTTTTGTCTCCTGAAACCTCATTGGCCTGTGCATTAATATTTCCACATACCACCGACACTACTACTACCACCACCACTTCGATACCATGTAAAGCCATTGAATGTCACGATCACCATGAGTCCAACGACTGTTTCCACCGTATGAAGCTTTAATGGCCTGAAAGCTCTTAGCAACCTCCGCAGCAATGCTCACCTTACTACGTGTATGTTGTCTATCGCATAGAAATACTGACTGCACATCGGAAATTGAGTCTGCGAGCAGACGGGATAACTACATGTACGCATGTAAGTGGTAATTGAGTGAGTGAGGGGAGAGTGTGGTAGCTGTTGTGCAAGTCTGTCTCACCATAAACTAATTCACGCGCAAGTCACCAGTGCTGCGATCACTTCGTGGCACATACGATAGACATCGTCCCCCACAACGACCGAAATCTCATAGTTTCGCGCGTGTATTACGAACCCTTAATCCGCTGGCTTGTCTGTCAGCGCTGAGAAGTACAAACTGGTAATTGGCCTGATCTGGACTAATCTACCTCTGTATGTCAAACGATGTCTCTTCTCGCTGTTCACTTGGATAGGCATATGGTCGCCACCAAGTTACTTTATTAGCACTCATCAAACCCAAACCGTGTGCCTTTACTTCACTTTCCACCCACGGTTTCCTCGTTGACAGCGCGTACTTCAGGTTATTTCACATTCAAAAGACGCCACTAGCAGCTTCTAGACCGCATGGCCTTGTCTGATAGAAGTACTGCGATTCCTTGGCAAATGAAAGGCGTGCGCATTCTCACATAATCAATCGACTCCCTAACTCTGCCAACTGCCGCCCCATCGAATCCACCGTTCGCTACAATCCGCAGATCAGTACCTGCAGACCATCAGCGTGTGCATGCGGGTGTAAAATGTGGTGTTGGTGCAATAAAAGGTGGAGTTCGTGGCGCTCACGGCAATTTGTCGCAGTTGATCTGGTTGCCACGTGAAATGTCGATCGCACAAACACATTCCTTCGAAGATGAATTTCCCCTGATTCGCAGCTGCCCTGCACTGAACGAAATTCGCCTAGCTGGGGAGATTAAAGACCTGACAATAGAGGTAGTTTCGCCTGCTGTTACTGCTCTCTACACGTACATTTCTATGCACTAGGTAAAGAACGGCGAGGTTCTCCATGCTCACCGAATAATACTAGCAGCTCGCATTCCTTCCTTGCGAGCCACGCTCAGTGGTCCCCTCGGGGAGGCCAATTCCGTCCTCAGATGGCCAACAGTGCCTCTCAGGTAAAACACCCACCCGTCGTTTCCTGAGCTTTGCCTACTCTTTATGCACTTTCCAGCCTCGCAACTGCGCTCATTAGTTATGTGTACACCGGCAAACTGGAGATGACGCCAGCAAATGTGATGGGCATGGTTGCGTTCGCAAAAATGCTGAAGATTCCTGCTCTGGAGATTTGGGGAGCCAATTTAATAGCTGACAGGTAAGCATTGCCCAGTTATTCCTCTCTAACTGTCCGCTCTACAGTGTCACTTTAGAAAATCTGGCAAACACTTGGGATTTTGCGAAGTCATTGAATATCGGATTTCTGATGGATACTTGCATCAATCTAATGGAGACGCAGTTTATTCGTTTTATCTCTGATGACATCTTTGTACGTTTGCCAGGCGATACGGTGCTCTCATTGGTCCAAAGCGAAGATTTGTCAGTTGACTCTGAGGAACAAGTGTTTGAAGCGATTTCACGTTGGGTTTGTCCTGGTGGAGTGGTTGATGAGGAGAGGCTGAATACATACGCTCCGAAGATGCTGAAAGAGGTCCAGTGGCATCGGACCACTGCTCAGTTCCGTGAGCACTTGCTGGATAATCATCAGATATACCAGACCAACGTCGAATGTCTGTAAGTGCATGCCATTTAAGTGCATAATGATTCTGTTTAAGTCGACAAATGGCTGCGTTTGAGCAGTGGATTGGCGCCGCCGCCAAGCGTAGGAGGATGTGCCCCTTCAATCAACATAGCCGCAACGGGAGAACGCCTCAGATTATTTTCGTCTTTGGAAGGGATAAAAATCAAGACAGATGGTCGGTTCTGCGTTTCGACTCGGAGCTGCAGAATGAAGAGAAGGTTGCTGACATGCAATTTCGCCGTTACGCTACTTACAGTGTCGTGGGCGGTGAGTCTACTGACGTACACTTACCTAACCCAGCATGCTGCCCAGTACACGTTAGTGAGCGTTAGTCGTCGTCCTTGACCCCACCCTCCCAATTTCATCGCACACAGACTGCTTCATGTTTGCGCAAGCACCTACCCTCCTCGGCATATTTTTAAACTTGAGTAGCTTATGCCCTAATGCAAAATCGTACCACAGTTTTGTCGCAATATAATTGCCATTACATAAAATCTGAAAACGGTAATGTCGAAATCTCACGTGATGAATTTGATGCTTAGTAGTGTTCAATGAAATTGCCGCCGGAGCACCCGAAGGTTTTGTGTCACTGCATTTCTGAGTAGATAACACGATTGAAAATCCCTATAAATATTATAGTAATGACTGCGGTCGATTCAATGAGAGGCTTTTTAGTGGGGATATTCTACAACATGATTTTCACTGTTGGACGTCCATATAAGTGCTCGTTTCTGTTAGCAAATAAATAAGGTTATTTTGGTCGATATTGGATGATGCTCAATGGTGGAACCACACTGTGGCCAGATTGCAGTGCGTCAGGCGTTATTGGGAATGCGCACCCTTATCAAATGCCAACATTGAGGGTATGGTGACGGGTCTAGCTGGAGGCCCATGGTGTGTCAATTGGAATCCAATTCACCTACCCCCAAAATGTTTTCTGTCATCGTATATGTTCCTAATCAATGTACTTATGAGCCATACGTATATACATTGCTACTCGAATAGATGCTGCGCGGTCCTACAAAATCCCAAAATTAGGAACTATTAAAACCGTGATTTGCTTTTTCTTCAAATACGAAATTAGAAAAAAGATGTGATTTGCTACCGAATGGGATGAAGAAAGAATGTTTCGGTACATGTTTTCCGCAAAATACATTCGAATTTATAAAGTCATCGAAAATCGACAGAGAATGTAAAGGCTACATAAGTTGAAATTTTTACTGGGACCTATTATTGCGGGCAGCGGGAAAGAAGTGAATTCAAAAGCCGACACCCTGGTGTATTGGAAATATTACGGAATTAGGTCGTAAGATAGTTGGTCTAACTACCTTACATTAACATAACATAACGCATATCATTACTTGGCGACCCCGCTGACCGCCTGTAGAATCTCGACGATGTACCGACATTGCGAGCAGTCCATTTCGGTTCAGTTCTTCCATATGAAATGGGAAGAAACAAGCTGGGAAATAAAAGAATAGTGATTCTGCTATTAAACATTCCGCTACGACTAACGGAGTCCTCCAATTCCTCGATTGCTCTCTAGCACAGGCGGTCAGTTGTGGCCACACCTGTAATGCTGCTGCATTAGTTGATTTTGCAAAAGTATGCAGATTTTCAGAACACGCAGTCAAGTAACGATAAGTTGATCCTCACGAACCACGCCGGCTTGCTTTAAAAGTTAAGACGTAGTCTGCAGACTCCTGTCTACAACTCATCCACATTTTGTGCATTGTTCCCTTCCTGGAAGAGAGCATTTTCGTAGTCGGAGGAGAGACTTCGCAGCAGACCTACTCGACGAGTGTTGATGAGTTCCTGGTGAGAGAACGGCACTGGCGCAAACGGGCACCCCTCACCGTTGGACGCCAAGATCATGCAGCCTCCGTCGTGAAGGTTGATGTTGCACACAAGGGGTGTACAGAGAACACGCTGATTGCCATTTTTGGTGGATGCTGCAGGGAAGGAGGAACACTTAAACGCCTTTCCTCCTGTGAAGTGTATGACGTCAGTCAGGATAGGTAAGAATACCTGTGACGCAAATCTGTTGCTTCTCCGTAAATGTTGCTGCCTCGCCCACTCATCGGCACAACTCCCCCTCGCATGTCTCCAACAGGTGGTACAGGCTGCCCGATCTACGGGATAAGAGGAACTGTGCAGCTGCTGTGTGCTTACCCCGCGACAATCGGGTCTTCGTCATTGGCGGTAGGAACGATTTTGCCTGGACTGCTTCCGTGGAGTTCTGTCAGCTGCGAACAGACTGGCAAGGGAAGGCCACCTCATCCAGCACCGCCGAATTCTGGCTACCAGCTGCCCCCATGAGAACTGCGCGCGCAGGTCTCTCAGCAACACACTTTAGAGGGAAAATCATCGCCGTCGGT